TGCTAGGGGTTCAGGGTAAAATGTGTTGCTAGGTATTGACAGCTGATACTTAGGAATGGGGAATGGTGCTGTGGGGTTCACAGGAGGGAAGAAGTCAGGGTGTTCCAGCAGGATATGCTTGGTCACTTGGGAATGGAGGCAGAGAGAGAGGAGAGGCCACAACAGGTAGTCTGTTGAGCTCCCTGCTGTCAGCTCTCATCTGCCTGAGAGCTGGGGATGAGACTGGAGCACTGGATATGGAGGGGAGGAGGGAGAGTGAAGGTCTGAGTTCACCTACCTGCTTTGCTGGCTTACTTGCTTCCCAGTCAGGCTTCGCCAGTGGGTTCCCAGGGAATGCCTGTTGGAGTTGGGGCTGGGACAGCAGGGTGAGTGGGGAGGGAGGGAAGGTTGGAGGAGAAGATCTGAATAATCGAGAGGAGGGGAGTGACAGCAGATGGTCTGCTTCAGAGTTTGGGGTGAGATGGTGTGTGTGGGATTGGATTTAGAGAGGTGAATACCTTCAGTTAGTCTATCTGCTTCCCTGGCTGGAGTGGGCTTTGGGTTCCCAGGGAATGCCCGCTAGAGTTGGGTGTTTTTTGTTTTTTGAACTCTTTTGCTCTTTTGGTGGGCCCACCACCCAGATCCCAAATAAAGCACATGGAGGCTTATTCTTTCTTACGAATGCCCGGCCTTGTCTTGGCTTGTTTCTAGCTAGCTTTTCCTAACTTATTCTGTCTACCTTTTGCCTCTGGGCTTTTACCTTTCTCTATTTCTGTATATCTTTTCTTTCCTTCTTACTCTGTGGCTGGCTGTGTGGCTGGGGGGCTGGCCCCTGGAGTCCTCCTCCTTCTCTGGCTCCTAGATCTTCTCCTCCCAGATTTCTCCTCCTCTTTTATTCTCTTTGCCTGGCAGCCCCACCTATCCTCTCTCCTGCCTAGCTATTGGCTGTTCAGCCCTTTATTAAACCATCAGGTGTTTTAGACAGGCACAGTAACACAGCTTCACAGAGTTAAACAAATGCAACATAAAAGAATGCAGCACATCTTTGCATCATTAAACAAATGTTCCACAGCAGAAACAAATGTAACACATTTTAAAACAATATGCTACAACAGTTGGGGCTGGGATGAAGGCTGGGGGGTTGGGAGGGAAGTTTGGAATTCACACTGGCCACTGAGTGGAAAGGTCTGTGTGATCCACCAGGATGGGGACGGGGGTGGGGGTGTGGGGGGGAAGAGGGGAGGCCACAGCGGGTTGTTTGGTGCAGAGCTGGATATGAGACTGGTGAAATGGATTTGGAGGAGGGGAGGAGGGGGTGAAGATCTGCAGTTAGCCTACCTGCTTCCCTGGCAGAGTTTATAACATGGCTTTATCACATCAGCATGTGATAGTCATGCGTCTGTTAAAGCAACCAAGAGAAGAAATGTATACTATTCTGTTTTTACATACTTATTTGCCATTTTTGGTGCCTTCCCTCAAAGATTCAAATTTCTGTCTGGGCTCTGAAGGATTTTGCTTTCTCTTGAAGAACTTAGTTTCCTTTTATTTTTATGGTTGAAATTTTCTTTGTTTTCATTTACTTGGAAATGACTTACTTCTCTTTGGGATATGGGAATCAGAGCAGTGTGGCTTTGTCTCCTATCACTTTAAGGATATTCTTTTGTTGTTGTTGTTTTTCCAGACAAGGTTTCTTTGCATAGTCCTGGCTGTTCTGGAACTCGCTCTGTAGACCAGGCTGGCCTCGAACTCACAGAGATTCGCCTGCCTCTGCCTCCCCAGTGCTGAGATTAAAGGCGTGCACCACCACAACCAGCTGGCGAGGATACTCTTCTTATTGTCAGTCCGGAGCAGCTTTGGGGCTCGCCAGGTGCTGGCTTTGTGGTTCTGCAGTCTCTCTGTAATGTATGCTTTTCCTTGACCTCTCAGAATTTAATCTTTAGCTTTCGACAGTTACAGTGTGTTGACATGTGGCTTTTCATTACACGTTTCCTGTTGCATTGTTTTTCACATCTTTCTCTGTTTGAGATTTATATTAGACTGCTTAATATTGCACCACGGATCCTTGAGTTTCAACCAGCCAGTCTTCAAGTTCATGGAGTCTTCCTCAGTCATCTCCATTTCCCCACTTAGGCCATGTCATTAATTTTTTTTACTTCTGTTACTGTAATTTCATTTCTTTTTTTTTTTTTTTTTTTTTTTTTTTTTTTTTTGGTTTTTCGAGACAGGGTTTCTCTGTGTAGCTTTGCGCCTTTCCTGGAACTCACTTGGTAGTCCAGGCTGGCCTCGAACTCACAGAGATCCGCCTGGCTCTGCCTCCCGAGTGCTGGGATTAAAGGCGTGCGCCACCACCGCCCGGCTGTAATTTCATTTCTATACTTTTCAATTTTATAATTTCCATTTCCTTGCTGAAAGTCTGCATCATTCATTTATTATGCCTGTGTTTTCATTTAAATCACCTGATATATTTATAATGAAAATTCTTGTCTAATCCCAAAATGAATTGCCACGTTGGGATTGGTTTCTACTAATGTCCCTTCACCCCTTCCTTGACATTGTACATGTCTGTTTTCTGTAGCTAGTAACTGTGAATAGTCAATCTAGAGAGTCTAGACTCAGTTACTTTTATCCGAGAAGAGTAATTTCTTGTTCCTTGAATTAGAATGTCTAGCTTGACTCAGACTCCAGACTCTCTTGCCCCAGCTAAGCAGCGGTGAAAAGTTCCCACCATTTTCTTCCACCTCCTAGCTGTTGATTCTGTTGGCTATTCTGGAATTTTCTGCATGAAGTCATGCTATGGTGTCAACCAGGAATTTGAGTACAGCTTATGTTCTGATTATTTTTAGGATAATACCTTTAGTGATATCCTGTCCTTTTTAGTACCTTCCTTATAATTCCCCAGCCTTTCCACTAGCCTTCACTCTCTTTTGGGTTTTAAAAACATATTTATTTTTATTTTATGTGTGTGAATGTTTTGCCTCCGTGTGTTTTTGTCTACTATGTCTGTGCACCCTGTGCATACCTGGTGTCCCCAGAGGTCAGAAGAGGGCGTCAGATCCCTTGGAGCTGGAGTTACAGAGGGTCGTGAGCCACCATGTGGATGTTGGGAGTTTAACTATGATTCTCTGGAAGAGCAGCCAGTTCTCATAACCATTGAGTCATTTCTCCAGCCCCAGTTCCCAATTTTTAAAGGCTCATGTCTCTCCATTTTATGTCTGGTTTGGATCAATTTCCAATTATTTTATACAGTTTAGACATTTTGTTATGATTTTGTAGTTTTTCTCTGGAGGAAAAAGCTATTCCGGTGTTATGAGCCTGGAGCTTCAACTATAGATTTAACAGGACCAAGCGCCCCGACTCCTGTCACTGTGGTCTCCCATAGAGTTCTCTCTCATTAGCTTGAACCGGAATCTCTTCAAGGTTCTAGGTTTTTACCTTTCTCTGCTGTGTTGTTGTTTACTTTCCTTCTTTTCTTAAATTAAAATTTTATATCACTTTTCTCATTCCTTCCCCTAAGTCTTTCCGTATTCTTCTGCTCACTCCCTCTCAAACTGATGGCTTCTTTTTAAAAGATTATTATTGCTGCATATACACAGACACACACACACAGACACACACACACACACACACACACACACACACACACACACACACACACAAATATAACCACTGAGTCTGTTTAATGTGGCTTGTGTGTATATGATTTCGGGCTGACCACTTTGTTTTGGATAACCAATAAAGGGACTTTCCTCACTCCTGGGAGAGGCTAATTCTTCCTTTCTCACTGTCATTAGTTGCTTATAGCCCCTGGACTTGGGCGGGAACCGTACACGATTTCCTTCTCCTGCGTTAACACGTCTATTGATGTTGTTACTGTTCTATTGATGTTGTTACTGTCCAGGTCTTGTTTAGGCAGCCATATTGTGTCATGGGTGTAGCTTCCCTGTTGTTTCTAGGAGACACAATCCTGCAGCATGCTCCCTGTTCCATGGGCTCTTACAATCTTTCCATCCTCTCTTCTGAGATGCTCGTGGAGCCTTAGGTGCAGGTGTTGTGCTGTAGATGTAACCCCTGGGGTCATCTCCTTCCACTCAAGATTGGTTTTGTGCTTACATTATTCTCACTTACTATTTTTAGAATAATTTCTAGGAAGAGACTTGTCCTCTTAAAAATGAAGTCTCTCGCAGTCTGTGCACCGCACAGTGTCTCTTCTGTATGCTCTTCTCACGTGACTTAGGAGCGGCATCAGCAAAGTACTATGAAGCCTGGAGGCTTTGGGTGCCCAGAAGTCTCTGGGGAGCCGCAGCGTTTCTGGGTGGTTTGACTTCACGGCTAAGACTTTCAGTGTCCGCCTTTTCTTGGCCTCTACACAGCCAGTGTTCTTAAAGGATTGTAGCCATTGTTTGTGTTTTCTCAGTAATGTGTAACTCCTACTGGGAAAATGATGAACACTCATTCATGGGCAAGACTGAAAGAGTGAATATTGTACTTGGTTTTAGGAAAAGTGACATCTTTATCATTTTAAATCATTACTTATTAGCTTACAGAGAATTAGGTTTCATTATTGCATTCTTCAAACAAAATTGGTTTTTGTTTTCGTTTTCCCCTTCCCCTCCCCCAGTTTATAGTCTCCAGTCCTGGGAAGTCTCCTTTCTGCTTTCAGGATGTATTTGAATTTTGCAGGACCCCACCTTCTCATACCCCTTGTTCCCCTCTCAGGGTCTGCTATTTAGTTTCATAGTTTATACCCATTCTCATACCCCCCTTCTTTATATGCATATAAACATTAAAAGTTAGTATACATAAAACAGAGAGAATGTGCGATTTTTGTCTTTCTAAAGCCTAATCAATCTGTTTAATACTTTTCAGATCTATCCATTTCTAAAATTTCATGAACACCTAGGCTGGTCCCCCTTCCTTGCTATTGTGAATGGTACAGTAATGAACATGCCTCGTGAGTCCCTCCTTGTCTTAGTTAGGGTTTCTATTGCTGTGGAGAGACACCATGACCATGGCAACTCATGTAAGGAAACTATTTAATTGAGGGGACTTGCTTAGAGTTTCAGATGATCAGTCCCTTATCATCAAGGTGGGAATCATGGTGGTGTTCAGGCAGACATGGTGTTGGAGTAGTAGGTGAGAGTCCTACCTCTTGCAGGCAACAGAAAATCCACTGAGACACTGGGCAGTATCCTGAGCATAGGAAACCTTAAAGCCCATCTATACAGTGACACAATTCCTCCAACAAGGCCATACCTATTCCAAGAAAGCCATACTTCCTAGTAGTGCCACTCCCTATCTGATTCTGGGGGTGCAATTACATTCAAACTACCATACTCCTTATCCATGCTGAAATATTGACGGGCTGACCATGTGTAGGTCCTGTGCAGGTGTAACCACAGCTGTTGTGAGTTCACCCCTCATGTTTAGCAGACAGTATTTTATAGCTCACTTCCCCATCTTCTGGATCTTATAATTCTTCCCATTCCCTCTTTTTTGATGGTCCCTGAGCCTCAGTGGTGGTTGATAAATGTCTCATTTAAGGGCTTATAAGATGTCTCAGTGGATAAAGGTACTTCCTGCCAAGACTGAAGATCTTAATTTGATCTCTGGGACCCAAATGGTGAAAGGAGAGGCCCAGCTCCTTCAAGTTGTCTTCTGACCTCCACATCTATGTTGTGACATGTGTGTGTCCACATAATACAAATAAATGTCACCAAAAAAATAAACATTCCATTCAGAGCTGAGCACTCAACAGTCATTTCTTCTCAGCACTTTGGTGAGTTGATGAGTCTTTGCACTGACTCTGGAACCTTCATTTTAAATGAGTCTTTAGAACATAGCCTGCTTTCCAAGCCCTGTCCCTACCAAGGGATCTTCTTCTTCCAGGAATGAAGACGTTGGATTAGAATTGTCCACTTGTCAAATGGTGTCCCCACTGAAAGCTCCACATTCACTGCCACACATGCCCGCTTTCCTCACCCACCTCTGTCCCATCAGTGCCAACAAGCCCTGGTTCTGGCTTAACCATTCACTAGTTGTATAGCCTTGGCCCACCCATGCCCTGGCATTACAAATCCAGTATACTATACTCCTTTATAAATTAGAGGTCATAATGTCTCAACTACCTCAGAGGTCTAAAGACCAGCATAGAAGTGAAGCATTATGAAAATAAATTATTAGTGTTGAGGCTCAGAGAAATTCACATCTGAGGAGAGTGAGCTAAAAGGAGAGTTTTTGTGTTGTTTCCTGGTACAGCATATACCTCTTTGCCATCACAGAATCTACACCAAGGTGGCAGTGACTCTGTTGGAAATATCACCACTACTGCCGCATCCCCCTAATTTCTTCAACTTGACTATCCTCCACAGGTGTGGATAACAATCTACATGGCAGTACTCCCCACCCCCAACTGGCCACCATAGTGGCCCAGTGACCACAGTGCTTATGCTGTCTTGTCAGAGGGTTGACAAAATCAGCTCCCTGCTGCTTTCTCATTGTTCAGAATCCAATTCAACATCTCTGGCCACAGCATGACAATCATCTGGGCTCCACACTGTAGATCTTTACCGCAGAGGCCTTAGAAAGCCAGAGTCAAAAGTATGCTCCTTTATCCTAGGAAGGTTAAGCCTGCAGTTCCTTAAGGAATGAGCTATTGTGAGGGCCAGACCCACATTCATATGGGACAATTGCTCCATCCCCAACTTCAAGATGTCGAAGGGGCTGTGTTCAGAAGCAACCTGCTGCTTTATGGGTCAATAATCATTTTGAGAAACTGAGTCTGAATGGAATGGCCCAGCAGGGAGGGATGCTGGAAGATTGATGGGGGCCAGATTGTACTGGACTTTGTTTCAAAAGGACAGTTAGAAACCTGACACTGGATTGGGAGCCTAACCTCTAGGTAGAAGGCAAGAGGATTCTTCTGTCTGACCTTGTAGATATACATCTTGCAGCATGCTACCATTCAGCATTTCCCAGTTTCATTTCTATGGCACAGAGCAATGTAGCCATTTAGGGGGACTCTGGATGTGGAATCATCCAAAATTCAGAAAGCTACATTCTGGTCCCGCATCTGCTACTATGGGGCTTCAGTCTGCTGATGGGAAGAGTGAGTGTGAAGGGGACAGTTGGGTGGAATGAGGCCTAGCCTATGGTTCCTCTCGAATGTTTACAGGAGCAGTTTCCATTCCTGACATGTATGTATCTTAATCCCCAATGTCTCATAGGCCCACTGTGTTGCAGTTTCTGAAGATGTTTTGAAGATAAAATTAATTACTTGAAAAAAGTCCCCAGACCACTAATCTAATTTAGCCATTGCCAGGAAGGCTTTTGCCACTGGCGACAGATTTTAGGAAGGAAAATGACTTGCCAGCATGGTACCCAGCTTCTAGATTTCCTTCTGTCTGATTTCCTTCCCATCACCAACTGAAAGCTTATTGTTTGGTGAGGGAATCGCCGATCATTGTGAGAGATCAGAGGGAGAAAGCGTTGGCAAACTTGGTAAGTAGATAGAGGCAGAGCCTAAGCTGGGTCCTGGCATATGGGAGAGATTTAATTAGACAGAGGTAAGGGAGTCAGGCATTCCAGGTAAAACCGGCTGGTGTGGCAAGTCTGTGGGTCAAGAGAGCTGAGCTAGTCTGATGAGAGCAGGAAGCTGTGGGAGATGAGGCATGGGCCTTGTACAGCGAGGCAGACGAGAGACGGTCACACTCGGAGCTCTAGGCGGTTGCTACTCAGAGTGTGCCTCACAGCATGTGAGACATGAAGAAACACAAGATGTTGCTTGGGTATGGTGCCTCATGCCTATCATCCCAGCACTTGGGAGGCTGAGGCAGGAGGACTGCCACAAATTCAAGGCCAGCTTGTGATACATTGAGTTCTCGGCGAGCCTAGCCTATAGAGTGAGACTCTGTCTCAAAATAAACAAAACAAAACAAAACAAAAGGTAAAATAAACACAGAATATGCCCACTCCAGGCATCCTGAATCTGAATATAAATTTTAACAAGATCACAAAGTGTATGTACTATATGTCTTTCTATGAACTGTAAGTCTGAAGGTCCAGGACAATGGGTCTCTGCGATACTGATAAATCAGACCCCCAAATCAGACTTCATTAGGGATGAGCTCAGACACTTTAAGGAACTCTAAGCTATAGCAAGGGTTGAGGAACTATGGTTTCAAAACCATAAAGCGAGAATAATAATGTTAGTTTGCAGGACGGAAGACAAAGAGGAGTCATTGAAACTGTATAGCAGGATGCAGAGTGCACTCACGAAACAAGAGTGAACGATGAAAAACCAAATTCCCAGGAGACGACACCTCCATCATAGTCTCAGAGATGATACCTCCATCATAGTCTCAGAAACTACACCTCTATCACAGTCTCAGAGACAACACCTCCATCCATCATAGTCTCAGAGAGGACACCTCCATCATAGTCTCAGAGACAACACCTCCATCATAGTCTCAGAGACGACACCTCCATCATAGTCTCAGAGATGACACCTCCATCATAGTCTCAGAGATGACACCTCCATCATAGTCTCAGAGATGACACCTCCATCATAGTCTCAGAGTTGACACCTCCATCATAGTCTCAGAGATGACACCTCCATCATAGTCTCTTGATGGTTGACAAAATGGCTGACTATGAGTTGATGCTGGGAGCTGGTTTATAGAGGACAATGGGAAACTCATTTAGTATCAGACATTTCCACTTAGATCTGATGGTGAATGATGCCTGGCAGGTATTATGTGATGTCACAGTGGAGGACAGGTCCTGAAGAATGAATTTGTGACTTGTTATTACAGAGCAGGGAGTGGGAGGCTTTGAAATGTGACGAGGTTAGTTCACAGAACAAAAGGCTTTGTTGTGCATTCAGTAGAATTGGAAGGAGCTTTAGGATAGCCTGGGCCCAACTTCTGTGCATGAAGCCACCACGCTGACCTCAGTGATAGAGCAAACATTGTCTTTTCTTCTTGGCTTCAACAGCCCTCGGCCTAGAGTCAGGGAAGGACGTGCCTGGGCCACCTTCAAGATAGTCCTGTCGAGTTTGTTACCAGAAGGGCCTGGCCTGTAAGAAGTTCCCCTGCCAACTCTGTGACTCATCCCCACACTTCCCCCGTGATATTCTCAGAGTACAATTATGTGTAGCAGACTCTTTTCCATGGCTGACAATGTGGCCCATCTGTGAAATCATTAAGATCCTGTGCTCTAAAAGCATGGAGGAGGTAAACAGTGGGAGTCAATTGGGAACCTACTCCAATGATGGGAGTCTGGGATTCACACTCTGCCCCAGGGTGCTGAAGCCCTGGTACCCTTCTTTCTGAGGGAGCATGAGAGTTGAGCATTAATACGTGTCATCGAGGGCAGCAGGGCACAACCAAATCCAAAAATGCACAATGAGATGATGAAGTAGGCTTTGAGTTGGGAAATGCAGGTAGAAACATACAGAATTTACCTCTGGTACAGGTGAAGCCGTAATAAACAGGCTTCCATTAGGGTTTTGGGCAGACTCTTTCCCAACCCTGAAAATGTCAGCAATTTTATGACCCATACTGTAAGCATTATGGGAGTCTGAACTGGATCTGGGGGCCTTATCTGGAAGGATGGTTTAAGACTGAAGAGCAAAGGGAGGACACACTGTCACCTGATAGCATCATTGCATCACAGAGATGCTAACGTTCCTCCTGCTGGCTCAGTCTCTCCAGAACCACAGAGAAAGGCTCACTTGTCAAGTGCAATGCCTTCAAACCAGAACGTATCAGTCAGTCACGTGGAGAATGCTGACGTGCAGAATGTGGTGGCCCACCTCTAAAACTTCCCATCCCTCAGGTCTGTGGCCAGTTGGATATTTTGCATTTCTTCTATGTCCTCAGGCATTGATGTTGCTGTGGCATCAGTAGCTACACTTTGAAAACCATGCCTCGTGAGCTTTATGGTATAGAAAATGCTTTCTCATTCCGATCCCTCTGTGTCGTCATACACCTGTGACCCTATGAGGTAGGCGTTTGTGCATGAGGAACCATCTTCAGAAGACTGACGGCTGAAGTTCTCACAGCAGTGAGGAGTAGGGCTGGACTTCTGAGTCACTCATACTGTTCTCCTTAGTTCTAGGCTGTGCCCATCGTCGCAGAGTTCTAGAATGTCAAAGAGAGTGTCCAAACAGAGAAACTTGGTCTTCTAATTCTGGATCTTTTGTGCAATAGTCACCTTGTTATCATCAGGCTGTATGTAGTGAGTGACAGTAGTTGCAATATTCTGAAGATTTATGAAAAAATTTGAGAAAGACATAGAGGGGCTGGAAGAAGTTTCCAAGAGGAAAGCTCTGTGGATGAAAAGGAACCCAGTGAGGCAGAAGGAACCAGGAAACAAGCCAGTTAGAGCCTGCTGCAAAGGAGGGAAGCGGGGGGCAAGCTGTGGGTTTGAGTTAAGAATCCCAACAGCTCCTCTGCCTTGCTCAGGCCTTTAGCTTCATGGGACAAAACGGCCATTCTGATTTCAGCTACTTAGTTACTGTATCGCATTGTCAGAAGTCTGGTATGCTTGTGTAGAAGGCAATCTGCAAAGCCCTCTTACCCACCCTGGCATTCTTAGCTATTTGCTGTGGAAGTAGCCCCAGCCTCCAAAAAAACCATGGTGCTTTTGATAGGGTTCCCGCTAGCTCCATGTGTTCCTTGTATTTATCAAAATGGAACACTAACAAATATTTATCTAGTTTCACAGACAAGTTGACAATGAAGACTACCACATGTGTCTCCCTGTCATGGCGGTTCTTTTGCTTAATACTTGATTGACTGAGATGTCTTCAGTGTACTATAAACACATATTAAAAATAGCAACCTGAAAAATGGATGGAACTGAATAGGAAGCTCTGCATTTCAGGATGCGATACAGCGCCAACCTGGCCATCAGAGCATGAAATAGACAATCTTTACTGAATTATCTAAATTTTTATAATTCTTCAAAGCAAGTGTTTTTGGATCTTACAATGTGTGTTTTAAAGCATATATAAAATGTCCTCAAACTGGAACTTAAGTTCCTGTATATTTTAATAATGTAGGGAACACAAAATCCAGCTATTTTATCAAAATTTTAAGCTCACAGTCCAATTAAAATTTTCAGCATCCATTTTTTTCTACCCCAGTCATGAAGCTAAGAGAGGTCACTACATTTTCAGAATGCATTTTTTGTCAACACACACACACACACACACACACACACACACACACACACACACACACACACGAATGTTCCAAAAATGGAACAGTTCTCTGTTTTGTTAAAGGGAAAAAGGAGTTTAGATTACTTAAGGTTTATGCTTCTTTCTTTCTTTTTTACCCCTTAACATTCCCCTTGTGTGTATGTGTGTGTGTGTGTGTGTGTGTGTGTGTGTGTGTGAGAGAGAGAGAGAGAGAGAGAGAGAGAGAGAGAGAGAGAACAACAGGAGAAATTAGCTCTGTCCTTTTGCCATGTGCATTCTGGAGACTGCACTGAGGTTGTCAGTGTTGCTGGCAAGTACATTTACCTCCTGAGACATCTCTTCTGCCAGATGACAGCTGTAGGCATCACCTCAGAAACACCATCAACCTCTTTTGACACAGGATCTTTCCCTCGGCTTGGAACTCCCCAATAGACTAGGCTAGCTGGCCAGTTAACCTCAGCGACCTGTCTGTCTCTGCCTCCTCCCTGCTGAGATTACAAGCAAGTGCCACCATACCCAGCTTTTTTTTTTTTTTTTGGTTTTTCAAGACAGGGTTTCTCTGTGTAGCTTTGCACCTTTCCTGGAACTCACTCTGTAGCCCAGGCTGGCCTCGAACTCAGAGAGATCCGCCTGGCTCTGCCTCCCGAGTGCTGGGATTAAAGGCGTGCGCCACCACCGCCCGGCCATACCCAGCTTTTATACGTGGGATCTGAGGGTCAAATTCAAGGCCTTGTGCTTTATAAGGGAAATGCTTTACCAACTAAGCCATCCCCCAGCCTCCAAGTTCCATATTTTATAGATTTTCTGTGACTATGTATTGCCCTTTGAAGGTATTTGTTCTTTCCTCTCTATTTTAGATTGCCTGTGGTAGGCGAGCAATTTACCACTGAGCTACAGCCCCCAGCTTATTAAATTTCCAAGACTGGCCTTGAACTCTCGATTTACTGGTCTCAGATTCCTGAGTAGCCAGGATTACTGGTGTGTATCACGTGTCTGGCTTGTGCTACTGCTCATTTCTAAGGGTTTTGTTGATAAGGGAAAAAAAAAATGAAGGAAATGAAAACTCTTTACTTTTTTGAGATGGGACCTCATGCTGCCAGATGGACCTTAAACTTGTAAGCCTCCTGCCTCAGCCTCTGGAGTGCCCGGGATTAAATGCATGTGCCACTGTGTCCAGCTGTGGAGTCACAATATTCCAGTGATTTCCTATTTAATTCCTCCTTTCAAACATTTTAAAAGTTAAAGAAAAAAACCTTACGCTGGTATCAAGGATTCGTGATCCAGAATCAATAAAACAAAGTTGTGCGAAAGCCAGGCCTACATACACAGCAGTCCTGGGTCGGAGGGGTACTGGTGACATTTCAACTTCGGGGTTGTGTTGTGAATTGAATATTTAAACAACTGCTCCGAAGGAGCAAAAAGGAAATGATAACGTTTGGACCGTAAAGTTTCTGACGTGTGTTTACTCTCTGGACCTCTGTAACAACTTCCTGTCCTTATAAACTTGCTCTTGTGGTTGATGGGACACAGGTTGGTGGCAATTTCCCTTCACAGGGTGTGATGGTCCCAGTCTGATTTCTAATACCTGGCTCGTGCTGTTAACCCTGAGGTGACTGTGCTTCAGCAGAGTTGACCAGCCGGCTAGGTTCATATGCAGTCTGTCTGCCGGGCTGCACAGTGTAGGTGGGCAGACACTCAACTATCATCTCTAACCTGCTGTCTGCTTCGGAGTTATCAACATTCACTGCTGAATCTTACAACAGTGCTGGGTCTTAGAATAGAGGAGGATACAAGGACTATTAAAAGGCCATGGTGTTCCACTGGTTTTGGACCACATTAAAGGACAGAATGCTGTTAATCTCAAGGGAGAACCATTACAGTACAGTGGATTATATCTTAACTGGAGAGTGATGGTCTAAAGCGTGTGTGTGTGTGTGTGTGTGTGTGTGTGTGTGTGTGTGTGTGTGTGTGTGTGTGTAAAGATAAGATGTGCTCAGAGGCTGCACACTTTTTGCAATTAATCAGTACTACTATCCTTGGTGGACTTTCCCTTCTTTCTTCCTTCCTTGGTGGACTTTCCCTCCTTCCTTCCTTCCTTCCTTCCTTCCTTCCTTCCTTCCTTCCTTCCTTTCTCCCTCCCTCCCTCCCTCCCTCCCTCCCTCCCTCCCTCTCTCTCTCTCTCTCTCTCTCTCTCTCTCTCTCTCTCTCTCTCTTTTTCTTTTTTTGTTTTTTGGAGGAAAGCAGGCTCCTTGTAGTCTAGGCTGGTTGGGAATGTATCATGATCCTGCTTTCTCAGCCTCCTCAGTGCTGAGATTACCGGCATGTAACCTCATTGTACCTGGCCTCACCCCAGTTTTGTTTTTTTTTTTTTTTTTTTTGGTTTTTCGAGACAGGGTTTCTCTGTGTAGCTTTGCGCCTTTCCTGGAACTCACTTGGTAGTCCAGGCTGGCCTCGAACTCACAGAGATCCGCCTGGCTCTGCCTCCCGAGTGCTGGGATTAAAGGCGTGCGCCACCACCGCCCGGCCCTTACCCCAGTTTTTTAAGATGAGGAATCCGAGGCCCTAAGAAGTGAGCGACTTGACCAAACAATAAAGCTAAGTGGGGCCAGTTTTGGAGCCTCAATCTACCTGAGTATGCGATATTAGAATATTAAGAACCCTTAGAGATCACGTGTTACAACCGATTCGATTTATTTCACAGACAGGAACCTTAAGAATCATGGCTAATGGGATATGGCCTGTGTATATTAGATGCTGCCAGAATTTCCCAACTAGGGAAGTAGGGATTTGGTGCATTAGAGAGTGATGATTTAAAAACTAGGTTAAGGGAGCTGGGAATGAAACAGTTAAAGGAACTGGGATTACTCTTGTCTGATATGAGCAGTCACTTGATGGAGGATAAAGACCGGCTGGACTCTCCTTGCAATGGAGCCAAAGCATGAAAAAAGGACTGCAAATGTTGTTGGGTGGGGTCTTAGTAAGTTATAACTGAGAAATCCTGTTGCTGGAGCCAGGAAGGGCTGAAGGGAGTATGGGGCAGCTAGCTATACTCCAGGATAGGGACAGGGACCTTCCTTTCCTGGGAGCTGCCTTTTGCAGGGTTTTTTGTTTTTGTTTTTGTTTGCTTTTTGTTTTCTGCCCAATCTTAGGAGAATGTTGCCCTTGCCAATAACCTCAGTTAATAAGTAACATCTTTTTAATTGACCCACCAGACCGTTTTGCATTCTGCAAATCTTTCTACCCCCCTGCTCTGTCTTACTGTAGACAGAGATATTTTCATGACACACAACTCTGATATTTCTCTGCTCAAAAGTGACCAGAGCAACATGATCACATGCTTCCAAAGTGGAGGCTATAGACTCCCAGAGGCAGCAAATAAATATACAGAAAGCTTAATTAAATTTGAATTTGAAATAAACAATAAATGATTGGTTTTTAATTTAAGCTTGTCCCAGGCACTAGGCACCCTGTATCAGTTACCTGATAACTCTACCTGGGGTGGGGGTGGGGTCCTTCTAAGAGACCTTAGAACTCAAATCTATTTTCATAGTAACACTAAGACTTACTTGATTTTTCTACTCTGTTGCCATTTGCACTGACAATACAGAATCAGCACCAGTGAAAGTGGTATTGTTGTCGTCATCACACAAATCAAGGTAGTGACACCAAAGTGAACTGGTGAACATTGCATTATTCTCTCCATGCATGCACACCCAACACACACACACACACACACACACACACACACACACACACACACACACCAAAGCCGGTTTTACTTAGGAATCTCCTTGGGGATGGGGAGGTAGCTCAGTTGACAAAGTGTTTGCAGCATAGCCACAGTGTGCTCTGAGTGTGATCAGCCACAAGTGTGCTGAGTGTGATCAGCCACGAGTGTGCTCTGAGTGTGATCAGGCACAAGTGTGCTCTGAGTGTGATTGTCAGCATGCATGTCAAAAGCTGAGCTGGTGAGCCTATCACCAGGAGGCCAAGGTAGGCAGATCCTCAGAGCTGGCTGGCCAGCCAGCCTAATCTAATTGGAGAGCTCCAGGGCCTGTCTCAAAAACTGTCTTCTTAGGACCAAATCTAAGGTTGATTTCTGACCCCTACATACATGTATATGT